ACGGCGACGGCGGCGACGACGACGACGGGGCCGGGGCCGGGGCCGGGGCCGGGGCCGGGCCGGGCCGGGACGAGACAGATCGGGACGCGTCGCGACGCGATGTGGCGCGCGTAAATCCGCACAAGGCTCCCCTAGACGCGGCGCTGCTCCTTTCTCTCTCCGCGTCGGTTCTCCGCCTCGAATACGGCGCGTCGCGCGCGCGGATCGATCGCCGCTCGTACGTTACGTGCGCATAAAGTGTGCCGGTTCGCCCCGCTATTTCCGCGGCCGCGAGGACGCACGCACATGCTCCCGTCGCTCTCTCCCTCGTCCGGTGCCCACGTGCGTTCACACGAGTTTCTCGGGTGCGGCGTCCCCGCGGCTCCTCTCTCTCTCTCTCTTTCGTTCGACGCGCTATACGTGCATAGCCAGCGAACATACAAATGTATATCACGCGTGTACGTGAACGTCTTGTTTCTCTTCGATGCTCTCCGTTCGCCCGATCGGCGGCTAACTCGGGCCACGCGCTTTTGTTTCCGCTCGCGGGGGAATCGGCTCACCTCGTCGTCGCGCGTGTCCGTCGCGGCGTGCGCACGATTCACGTGCGCGCCGTTCGTCACGCAGTAGCTCGCGGTGGCGATGGCGGTGGCGGCGGCTGCGACGGAGGCTGCGAACGGCATATCTCACTCGTCGCCGCTTCTTCCGAGAACGTGTACACACGCGACACCGGTACCGCGTACGGCACAGAGGCGCGCACGCATACACACACACACACGTGCGCGCGCGCAACACGCACACGCGACACGCGCGCACCACGACACACTGACACCGGGGTGGGCAGGCTGGCGCGCACGACAACGCGACGCGCACACTATATCTCGGGCTCGGACGACTCCTCCGTTTGTACGCGAGTAAACTCTCTCGCCCTCGAACGCGGGCGGCGAGCGGGCGGGCGGGCGGTCGGTCGGACGGGCAGGCAGGCAGGCGTGCGGGCGCGCGCGTGCGCGGCTCGCTTCTACCGAGTAGGCGGCGCGACTACGTACACCCCGAGCAGCGAGTCAGCTGCTACTGATCGAGCCGCGGACCGTACTGCGGACGCGGCGGACGCGTCCCGCCGCCGCCGCCGCCGGACGTGGGCCGCGGACGCAACGGCACACTGTGAGGGACGTCCCACGAGCCCGCGGGGAGGAGCGTCGACGCGAGCGTCGCCGCGCGGTCGCCACCGTGAATCACCTCCGGCGTTTTTCTTAACAATCGTCGATTCGACGGACGGCTCCTCCGACTCTCGCCCGCTCGCGCGTCAAATAATGATGATCCACGGTCTCTGCGCGCGCGGATCGTTTGTATTATATTTTCCCCGGAAACGACGCCCCGCTTTTGTGTTTCGCGGTGAGTACTGTCTTGTTTCGCCGTGACTTTAAAGGCTAATCTACAATGTGCTCGGTCGCGTCTGGAAACATTCTATTGCGTAGCCGATGAATGTGTTTAAAAAAGTTGTAAGTTGATAATTTGTACACGCACCGGCATAAATGCTGTCCCTATCCTTGTGAGGTGCACGCACACAACTAGAGTCCCTGTAGTTGTGTGCGTGCACCTCACAAGGATAGGGACAGCATTTATGCCGGTGCGTGTACATTGTACAATCGTTAATTGTCGACAAATTTCTCAAGCGTTTCGATTTGCTTGTATAAAACCGAATGTTTCTGGACGCAAAGAGCACATTGTAGATTAAGCGTAAAGGCTGACCTATAATGTCTTCTTTCCGTCTGGAATCATTCTATTGTGTAACCGATAAATACAGTTAAAAAATTTTGGCAAGGTGATAAATTGTATACTGAACAATCGTAAATTGTCGACAAATTTTTTAAGGACACATTGGCTGCGTTCGGGGAGACGCTATTAGCGCTGAAAACGTCAGTCTATCTTCGTCACTCACTGTATGTCGAACAAAGATAGAAGACGCTTTTAGCGCCGAAAGCGCGCTTCCCGAATGCACCTATTGTAGATCCGGCGTACAGGCTAATCTACAATGTGTTCTTTGCGTCTAGAAACATTTAATTTTGTAGCCAATAAATACGGTTTAAAAAGTTGGGCAAGTTGATAAATTGTACACTG